GTGTGTGCGGGGGGGTGGGGGGCGGGGGGGGCAGGAAGGACGGGACACACACACACACACACACACACAAACATTCGGACCCTAGCAGGTTGCTTCCTGTTGTCCTATGTTATACACACACTGCAGCGAACACCTTGTTTATCTTTCTGTGCAGCTGGCTCCTGAAGGTAGGTTCTAAGAACCGGAACCGTCAGTTTGTAAAGACTGTGCCTTCGTCATTATGCGAGCCTGCCAAAGTGCCTTCCCCGGGGCAGTTTACGTCCACACTAGCAGCGTGTCACACTGCCTACGTCCCCACATACGTACCAGCACTGGGAGTTCACAGGTTGTTTTTTTGTGTGTGTTTTTCATTTTGCCAACCTGGGAAGGGAGAGCAGTATTCCCTCCCTCTTGAGGATTTCTGGTGGGATTGGGTGTCTTACAGGAGGTGTGGATGAAGGTTTGGATGGAGGTTGTCCTGTTAGTCTGACTGTGTTTTGATCTCCCGCCTGCCCCCTATGTCCTGCGGCTTAGGTACCTCTGTGACTTCACCTACTACACCTCTCTGTACCAGAGTCACGGCCGCTCAGCCTTTGTCCACGTGCCTCCGCTGGGCAAGCCGTACAACGCAGACCAGCTGGGCAGGGCGCTGCGGGCCATCATCGAGGAGATGCTGGGCGTCCTGGAGCAGTCAGAAGACAAAATCCACTGTCGCCACGAACACTAAGAGCCACCCAGGCCTCCCAAGGCCTCATCCTACCAGGGACCCAGGAGGAGGCAAACTTTCAGCCGGTGATCTGATTCGGATCAGATATTTCTGTTTACTTACCTCCTCTCCCTTTTGATCTGCAAACGTGCTGATTGATTTGAAGGGGCTGCTGAAGAGTGTTTCTCTGTTTCCCTTGGCATCTGGGGAGGTGGCCGTGATGTCCGGAGACCCTTGGGTGCGGATTTCCGAAGAGAATCCTGATTGGGGTTATCTCCACACCGCGATCCCACAGCTGGGCCACTTGCCCCTGCTCTTTAGGGCTCTGGTGACGGGGTTTCGGAGTTCCCTCCATCTCACCACTGGTTTTTCCCAACCGTAAAAGCCTCTTCGAGAGTCTGCCCTGACCCATGTCCCCACAGCTTGGACAGCCGTGGGCTATGCTGTGACTTTGTTATTTTCAAAATTCTATTCTCTCTTTCTCTTTCTCAAATTAATTGTTGAGAGAGAGAGAGAGAGAGAGAAAGGGGGGAGAGAGAAACCCTGACTTGTTGTTCCACTTATTTATGCACTCTTCGGTTGCTGTTTGTACGTGCCCTGATGGGGGATTGAACCCGCAACCTTGACATATCCGGGCGATGCTCTAAACAAATGAGCTACCCGGCCAAGGCCTTACTCTCTTTTTTAAAACAATAGTGCTAGTTTGGGCACAGAGTAATTTATATTCCCTTTGGTTAAAACACAGGCTTTAGTCAACAACAAAAGTGTCTTTTCTTTTTCCTGGGGTGCAGCCCCTTCTGCCTCCTGTCCCGAGCACTGGACCTGCATCTTCGTTTGGGGACTGACATTGACCTTGTTGGGTTTGGGAGACTGAGGGGAGGCCCCAGGAGGTTGAAGGGTTTGCTGACCCTTTCAACACCCAAGCTGTGAGCTCTGGAGCGGGGCCCACCGGTGGAAAGGCCGGCTTTGCCATCTTGACATGTACATGATTTTTTTTTTTAATATGTAAAAATTTGTAGCAGCTGAAAACCCACCCACATCTGGCCTGGATTTTGGAGCTTTGGTGCTAGGGGCAAGCTTCTTGTTTTCCTTTAGGGGGCGCCCAAAGCCGGGCCTGGGGCTGGAGTTTGCCGAGCTCCGTGTGTGCTGGCGCATTGACCAGCGGGCTTTTGTGGCGTTGGTTTTTGGCGTCGCAGCCAGATTCAGGAGTAAATTGTTACCATCCGCCCTGGTGACTTTGGACTTACAGCCAGGGATGAGCGTGACATTTCCCAGGAGGCAACTAACTTCAGCTGCACCTTGGCATCGTCAGGACAGGGCGGCGGCAGCAACCAGGAAGCCGATCGAGAAAAAATACATGTTTTGGAAGAATTCCCTGTTTTGGGAGAACATGTGGTTTTATCATTTCCCTAAGTGTGAAGCAAACCAGAATCTGATGCTGTATCGGATCCCATCGATATCCCGACATGCAGGTTTCTGTTTGTTTTTAATTTTTTACTTACTGTTTTTTAGAGAGAGAAGAAGGGAGAGAAAGAGGGAAACATCGATTTGTTGTTCCGCTTATTTATGCGCTCCTTGATTGATTCTTGTATGTGTCCTGACTGTCCATTGAGCCCACAGCCTTGGTGTATCAGGATGATGCCCCAACCAACCAAGCTACCTGGCCAGGGCTATTTTTAATTAATTATTTATTTTTAAAAAAAGGGGAGAGAGAGGGGGAGAGAGAGAGAGAGAGAGAGAGAGAGAGAGATATCAATGTGTTCTTCGTCTTATATATGCATTTATTCGTTTATTCCGGTATGTGCCTTGACCAGGGATCGAACCCACAGCCTTGGCCTATCAGGATGACACTCTAACCAACTGACCTACCCGGCCAGGGCCACTTTCATTTTTGTTTTTTAAATAGTTGATATTTTTATTCTGTTTTCTTAAACATTTACCTTCTTTCCCTCCTGTTCCAGTGCCCGGGGTGGCTCCTGCCTCTGCAGAGCTGCTATGTGGACTGGGAACCAGGTTGATGGGTTTCTGAGTTAAAGGCATTTTCTGACCCCTGGGCTTTCTCTGGAGGAGGAAAGGGGCACCGGTGGGAGACTTGGGGAGGGTGCTTGGCTGTGGGCGTAGACTGTGGCCAGCAGGTAGAAGTGATTGGGCCACTGCTTCCCCCTCCATGCCAGCCCTCCCGCTGCCAGAAATGTCCCCTCCCTGTCCCCAGTCTGAGTTTGGGGTCTCCTGAGGAATCTGGGTGTGTGGGATATAATTGCATCTGCTCCCTCACCTGTCTTCTGTGAGCAGAAATTGTGGCTCTTGAATGTGGGGGGCTCAAGGCTGGGGGGGACAGAGGTCCTATTCATAACATCAAGTTCCATCTAGCTCTGCTCCCCAAAGGTCTGATTTTGGGGGCTCTGAGGAGGAAATGAACTTGGCAGGATGGGGAGGGAGGTGACTGGAGGTGAGCCAGGTCCAATCTTAGCTGGGTACCTACTGGAACCCAGGCACTCCCCAAAGTCCACATTTGCATCTTTCTTTTGTCCTCATTTCACCTCTCTGTTTAAAGCACCCTGTGATTTAGCAACCGAGAGACGTAACTTATTGTCTGATCATTGTCAAGTGTGTGTGTGCTATTTTTGTGTTCCCGCATTTATTTGTTTTAGATTTCCACGAGTTGGACCAGAACCCTGTCCTTGTCCATTTAGCTCATTTTTATTTAATCAGACAGCTATTAAATATTTCACTCATTCCCTGACAGCTTTTTTTTTTTTTTCCTGTTTTGAATTTTTAAAAATTTTTCTTTTGGGTCACCTCATCCATTCACTCCATGATATGTCTGTCTGCATTTGTTGGGTCTCAGGCCAAAATGTTTTTGTGTAAGACGAGAGGGCCAGGTTCCCTTCCTCTCCCTTGTCGTTTTCAGAGCCTCAGATTGGGGCACAGAATGGGACAGACGGGGGGTCTGTGGAATGGGTGCAGCTGTCAGGTGTGGAGGAGAATGATGCCAGGAGAGGTGGGTGTGACATTGCTAACGGTGGGAAGTTGAACCGAGGGGTGTGATGTGAAGGCTGGTGGGGGGCGGGTGAGAAGCGATGCTGGGGGGTCTCATATGGAAGCTGAGGGGGCCTCTCCCTGGCGAGCCCCTGGGGGGGTGCTGAGGGGAATAGGGGGAGGGACAGTCATTTGGGTGTCTGGTTTAATATGCCAGAGCCTCTGCAGCTCATACCTTGATTCTTCTCTCAGCTCCTTTGGCCCCCGCTTCCCCTCCAAAAAGAAGGTCAGTGGTGTGGGCATGAGTATGTAGCTTGAAAAAGAAAGAAGATGATGGATAGAAAGAAAGAAAAGAAAAGAAAGGAAGGAAGGAAGATGGAAAGAAGGAGGGATTTGAGTTGGTTTTCTGGGCAGGTGCCACTTGGCCTACCTGGTCCAGTCAAGGAGCAGCCAGGGTCCCCTGGCCACTGAGAGAGACAGGGCCAGGCAGGGGGCAACATCGTGGCTTCCTACTCAGCGCCAAGTCTTTGGCGAGAGTGTCCGATTGCAATCGTTTCAGCAAGGAAAATCATTTTCAGCTGCCCTGCTGCTTGTTGGCATGGGAACTTCTACCAGGACGGGCCTGCTCGGGACAGCTGGAAGAGTAGATTCAAGATACCGTATTATTATCTTAGACGTCTCGGCTGGGAAGCTAGGCCAGCTGGGGGCGGGGAGGGTGTGCACCAGCGTTCCTGTGCCCCTTGGCAGTACCCAGGTTGGGGAGGGGAGCTGTTCGGGGAAATCTGCCCACCACACCAGCCACATTTTTTGCTGCCACTGTCTAGACGGTTGACCTTTGACCTCTCCGCCCCTTGGAGTGTCTGAGCCAGAATTCTCCTTCAAGGATGGTGGGACAAAGCTCCATTCTTCACCGTGTCCCCAGCCTCCACCTGGAGACCGAGCCTGCAGCCACGTGGGGCTCTCACCGATGGTGGTCGGAGGGGCAGAAGCCTTAGTGCCAGGTTGCCCCCCTCAATCCTCCTGGCTATGAATCCATGGCATCCATGGACTTGGAGGAGCCAAAAAGGGCTTTTTCCCCCCCATATCCCAGATGAAATTTCCCTTCTCCAGGCACAAGTGCCTTGCGAGGGCTTGGGGCTGCCGCTGGGTGAGAAAGCATGTTCAAGGCCAGGGTCCCGCTTGGACCCATGGCAGAATGGCTGTTTGGGGTGCGGGCCATTTGCCAATGTTACATCTTGAAGGTCAGTACCTAGGTGGATGGTGGACATGCCTGCCAAGAGGCCCTGTCTCCTGGTGCAGGGGCAGTTGTCACAAGCTGGGTTTCTGGGGCTCCCAGATCTCAAGGGGCTCCCCACTCCAAATATCCATTTCTCCTCCTCCCGCTCCTCACCCAAGCCTGTCCTTCAGCTGCCCAGACACCCGCAGAAGTGCCGCCTCTCCCATAGGAATGGGGCGCGGAGAGGGGGCAGGATCCCATTCTCTGGGAGTTGGCCTGGCTCCAGAGTGCCCATTCGCAGGGGGCGCCTGGGGGGAGCCACTCTCCTGTCCTATACACTTCATCCCCAGGAAATCCCAGAGGAAGCCGGTTCGGAACAGGCTCTCAGCTCCCAAGGCCTGTGGAGTCCCCAGAACCCTGGGAGGCGCCACCTGGGTCCTGGGAGCATTGGCTTTCCACCTGCCCAGGGGGTTCCTGGCTTCTAGGCCTCCTCCCAACATCTCAGGCTTCTATCTTGTCTTAAATCGCTCCAGGAAAAAGCTTTCCTGCCCACGGTGACCGTGTCTTCTGTCTCCAACAGAGGACCCTGCACCCCAGGTGGCTTCTCCCTGACCCCCTGAGTTCCCGTCAGTGCCTTGTCTGAAACCCTCACGCCTGGGGCTCCCTGCCAAGGAAGTGTCTGCCAGACTTTACTGGGGGCTGGGCCCTGGGAGACCCCAAACTTGACACCCCAAAAGCAAATAAATCAGTTGAGATGTGATTTCTTGTGTGTCTGTGTGAGAAGTTGGCATCCACTGGGGTCACCTTCAGCGTGGGGGCACCTGTGGGCCGAGGGGCCCCAAGTCACCTGACACTCTCTCCTTGGTGTGTGACCTGGGGCTGGATTGGGGGCCATTGCTCCCAGAGTGCTGAGGGGATGAGGAGGGGATTCTGTGCTGAGTGCGCCTTTGTTCTTGTGCACGGAGGGGCGGGGTAGCTTGCTCCCGGTTACGCTGCCAGTGGGATTTGAATCCTGAGTGTGCTGTCCGCAGCATGTGTAGAATTCTCACTCACACAGCCCTGTGTGTGGGGTGCCATTCCCACCTCTTACAGGTGGAGAAACTGAGGCTCTGCCAGTGGGCCTCC